CCCCCCCCCCCCCCCCCAGAATATTCTTCTTTGGGAAAACAGCTAGTCATGCTGCTTACGTTGAAGTTCAGTTCTCACAAGAATTTACTCTGTTAATTTCACATTCCATCATTCCTACTATATCTGGTTCTCTAACTGTTAAGATTATCCAGATATTTAGCCAAAATAAACATATCACCTACATAGAGAATGGAATAAATAAGAAGAATTTTATTAAAAATTTTAACTCCAAGTAAAATTTGGTATTTTGACAAGACCATTAAATCCCCTGAAGATTGTTACTTGCCTCTGAAAATGTTTCAGGGTTATCTGACTATCTACCAGGCAACAATAAAAGATACATATGTTATTTTATACACATAAATTCACAATATACAATGGAAAAATCTTTCTGAACTCTAATTGCATTATTGTCAACAACTTAATACTAAGTTACACTACATACGTCAAGGGCTTAATCTGGACTCTAAAGTAATTTCAAACATCAGTATATCTTGAGCTCTATCTTCTGTATCCTTTATTTTCTTTAGTATGATATTATAATATATAAATTTTATAGATATTAAGTGAATATTTGTTGATTTAAAGCTTTTACTTACAAGAATTCTCTCTTCATGATATAAAATACAGATCAATTAAACCAATGGAAAAAGTATAAAGAAATGAAAAAAGAGCAGAAGCACAGTAGAACAAAAGATTTTGCTATATTCAATAAGATTCATGAAGAAACCTTCATGAAGAAAGTTGTTAATCATTTTAAGGAGGAAAAAAACGAATTAATGGGGAACAAAGGGAGGGCATCCTCCTAAAACAGTAAGCAGGTCCTCGTTTTGGCCCTCGTTTCACCATCCCGGTTAGAGGAGAAAAGACTGTCATTTGACTTAATGTTTAATGAATATTACTGCTCTCTTCTGATTTCGTCTAATTCATATGGGTGATGTGAACAAATAAGCAACGATCCTTGTATAGATTTTTTGTAAGTGTTATCTTGTGTTTGCCATAGTACATAGGTTGTTTTAAAGCCATTCTATTCAGCGACTGGGCCAAATACATTTTACTAACAAGCAAAGTGAGGGAGAGGGCATGGTTATGCAATCAACCCAGGCAGAATTTGATATGAAGTTTTCTGATCATTTTTGGTCTTTCCAAGTTATTCCTATTTGGAAGTTTAGGGAAGCAGGTAAAATGGAATTAGCTGATTGCTGGGAAGTTAGCTGGGTATACTGAGCTCAAGGAAGCTTCTCTTCTTAAGTCATTTTCTTAGGTCAAGTACCCTATTGACTATTCCACCAATTAAATCCTTACTACTCTGTACTTTAATTGCCAAATTTCTTGAATATCTTCCCAGTTGACTACATGGCCCTATAAGAAGGGACGACACATTGCGTGACACACGTAAAGCTGTAAAGTCAAACCTAATCATAAGTAGGGCCTAATCAACCTAGTAAATGAATGAAGAAAAACAAAATCTAATACCTTAATGTATGTTTAAATATTATATCATAAGACAACTTTTCCTAAACAATGTCTGTAATCCATTTTCAAATATTACAACTAGACTATAATTGCCCAAATTTCCCAACAAAACCTACAGAGGAATTTCTAAATGTATTAAGACCTAAATCTTATTTTAAAAAAAAAATCAGTTTTCACTGAAGAGGGAGAAAGCATCTGAAGCCAAAAAGTTATATTTTCTTACATTCCTATCACTTAAAAACAGTTAAATCATTTTTATTTTTTAAAAAAATTGCTGACCAGTAGTAAAATTCCGAAAATAGTGATTTGTGATGGAAAACTGACATAAACCATTCCAAACAAGGTTCTTATAAAAATATGATGTTTAAGTTCTAGTTGCTTAATTTGGTTCATAGTGTAGTATAAAAATATTTTTAAATTAGATGTGCTACAATTTTACTCACCTCAAACCTTCCTCAAGTTTGTGAATTTTTTTGTGAGCATCTTCTTTTTCTTTATCAAGTTCACTCTGCAAGTCATGAACCTGCCACAACAGGGACATGTAAAATTTATTGGAAGACAAGTAAAGTTTACTCAAAAGAGAAATATAAACAATGAAGTAGCAATCTCAAATCCATTTTTAATATAAAATTAGATTTAGCTATTTCAAGATAGAAACCTGTTTTACCATAATAATTTACCATAAGATGATATCAATACTACACATCCAATACGAATCTTCTGTTCAAAGTTTTTTGTTTGACTCTACCTGCATGTAGATTCTTTTCTTATTTTCAAATTACATTTTAGCCAAAGGAAAGGAATCTCACATGATTCTGGAGTATACAATAAATGATGCATCCATATGCCCCAAACACATAAAGGTTATGATGAAATAGTCTTCTCTCCCACTACTGGAAATGATTTGTATAACCATTTACAGAGTTTGGCAGGAAATTCCCCCACTATACCTGTTTCCTGCAGGTGGCATTTTTAAGTAAATGGGGTGGCAGCATCAATAGCATGGGATAAATGAAAATGTGTCTTCACAGAAAGCTCTTCATATGCAAATACCGATAAGCATGTCTAGTCAGCTGGATATGAGGAAGGAGTAAAACAGCAGCCATGGTTCCAAATACAGGAATGAGGGATCAGAGAACAGCTGGGAGGTAGGAGAGCTCAAGACATCAGTGGGCTAGGAATATCCCACAGATCTGCTGGCAACCTAGGTGAGGCCCACAGTGAAACCAGTGAGCAACAGGGATAAGAGAGGAATTACAAGAACAATAATAACAAAACTTACTATGAGATACCACATCAAACACTGAATCAGTGCCAGGCAAAAATATTTATAGTTAGCTATTTATATTAGTTTGAGTAAGGACCTATTTAACTTAAACCCTACATTCTTTGACCTTTCCCTTTTAGTATTTTTTCCCTTGGTGTTTGTAAAATAAATAATTTAATAAAATCAGTATGTTTATAAACTAAAAGAGTAAGGGTAGAGAGGAAGATTTCCATGATAATATCAAAAAGCTCCTACTGGCTGCTATGATGGTAATATCTAACATTAGAAAACACTGAGAGGTTGAGAAAAAAATGCAGAATTAGGAAACAGAAACCACTCTCCCCCATATTTTAAGTGACAAATTTAAAATATCACATAAAGATTATTTTTCTCAACAGAAAGAGAAAGAGCAACTTGCCTTGCAAACTTCTCCCACTACATGTTTTACTTAACACAAGAGAAAAAGAAAAGTCTGTTGTTCAAAACTTTACCAGGTTCAATACTTATATCATTATTTATTTTGGATCCCTAACATGTATTACAGTACTTGGCACATAGTAAGCATATTAAATTGGAGTATAAACAGTACTAGAGAAACAAAAGCGCCATTCCCACACAAACCTTGTCTTTTTAATGTATAGAATAAGTGATTAAAACTTCAAGCTGATGGAAGGCTGAGCGGAAGGATCGCCGGAGCCCAGCAGGTCGAGGCTGCAGTGGCCGGTAGCGGCCACTGCACTCCAGTCTGGGCGACGGAGTGAGACTCCAACTCAAAAAAAAAAAAAAAAAACTTCAAACTGAAACTCATATATGACCCCATCTGAAGATACCAGAAGCATGTTTTTATATCAGTAAAATCCTTTCTTGAGGAAATCTTATGTAAAAACCAAATTACCAACGTGTGTGTGTATGTGTGTGTGTGTGTGTGTGTGTAGGGAGGGGGGGAGAGAGACAGAGT